CTTTTATCATAGTATTTATAGAAAGGAATTCATCTAGAAAGGTTTCGGGTATTTTTACTCCTAAAATAAAGATTAACAGATATGTACAAATTCACTAGCATTTTTACAGAGAACAATATTACTTATTAGAAAAGAAACTGGGGAAAGTTGTTTAAGAAAAAGCTCAACAATAGGTATACAGGAATTTTACAGAGCAGGTCAGGTGCAGTGGCTCATGCCTGTAATCCCAGTACTTTGGAAGGCTAAGGCGAGCAGATTGCCTGAGACCAGGAGTTTGAGAACAGGCTGGGCAACATAGCAAAACCTCATATCTAGAAAAAAATTTAAAAATAAATTAGCCAGGCATGGTGGCATGTGCCGGTAGTCCCAGCTACACGGGATGCTAAGGTGGAAGCATCACCTGAGCCCAGGAGGTTGAGGCCGCTATAAGCCAAGATCGTCATGATCACGCCACTGCACTTTAGCCTGGGTAACAGAGTGAGATCCCAATTTTTTAAAAAAATTTTTTTATAAAGAGAATTTAAAACTTTAAGAAGCTATGCAAAAAATAATTTAAGAGAGAAAGAAAGAAAAAAGAAAGAAAAAAGGTGTACAGATAACTTAAATCTCCACTTTAGCTCAGTATCAGTATTATCTGGTAGCTTGATATAAATGCAAACTCTGGCTGGTCCGAGCGCAGTGGTGTTTACAACTACCTGATCAAACAAGTTACAGATTTCTTTGTTCTTTCTCCACTCCCACTGCTTCACTTGACTAGCCAAAAATAAAAATAAATGCAAATTCTTGGGTTCTACCCCAAACCTAATAATTTAGAATTTCTGGTGTAGGATGTAGGAATATGCATTTGAAACCTCTTCAGATGACTCTTTTCCAGACTAAAATTTGAGAAGCACTGTGTTACTTAAGCTCCAGAATATGATACTCAGTTGCCTACTGAATTTATATACTCAAGTGACCCACAGAGACACAAATCTCAAATTGAAATAATCTTCCCTCCCCTACAAACTTGCTGATCCTTCTTTTCTAAGGAAAAATAATACCAACAAAAAGAAGTGCCAACCATAATTCCTTAATCTTCTTCATGTCTCTCATCTAGACAGTCACCAGGTCCTTTTGAGTCTACCTTCCTCCATGGATCCCTCCATGGTTCAGGTTATGATTAAACCTAGAGTATGGCAACTCTTAAATGGTAGCCCTGTTTAAATAATTCCAAGAAAAAGGGGTGAGGTGAGGCAAATACAGTAAAAAGTTAACCATTAGTAAATCTATAACTAAGGCTGTATAGATCTAGGCAAAGACAGAAGGATAAAACAGTACTGAGAACCCAGAAATATACACACACACAAAAATGATATTTAACATGTCAAAACAGTGAGGGAAAGGACACATGTGCCAATAAATGGGTATTATGATAACTGGACCTCCCTACAGAAGATATCAAAGTTAACCACTAACTCATATGATATACAAAAACAAACTGAAAATAAACTATAGATCTAAATGTGAAAGGCAAAACAAGTAAACTTCTTAAAAGAAAATAAAGGAAGATGTTTTTCATCATGACCTCTTAGTAGGGAAAGATTTCTTAATCAAAAAAATGCTAGCAATAAAGAAAAATATTGACCTGACTACACTAAAATAAGAATTTCTGATAATTAAAAGAGGCTACTAAGGGAAAAAAATAAGCCACATGTGAAAAAAAAATTTGCAGTGCATATAATTAACAAAGGAATTGTATCTAAAATATATAACCTCCACAAATCAATAAGGTAAAGACAGAATCCAACAGATAAAAGAGCAAAAAATTTCAATGCACTTTGAAAATGGGGTTATCTAATGTTTGATAAACATATGAAAAGGTACTCAACCTCATCAGTAATCTGACAAATGCAAGTTTAAGCCACAAGCTACCACTGCACCCCCTTCTCATGGGTGAAAATTATGATGCCTGACATCAGCCAATATGATGCCTAACTAGAACCCACGTATTGTGTTTGTAGGAGTCTAAGTCAGTAAACTGTCTTTGGAAAACATTTTGGCATTATCCTCTAACACAATTCCAGTCCTAGATATATACCACAGAGAAACCTGTGCCAATATGTGTCAGGATGCAGATAAAATAACATTGTTTGCAGTATCTCTAAAATGCAAACAACTTAAGAATCCGCAACAGTAAAGTGGATAAACTGTACTTACTTATACACAGAAACAAACTACTAAAGCATTATGCAAAATGCAAAAATATTTTTAAAAATGATTTTGAGAAGCAAAATATACATAATAAATACATTATAAATCCTTCTGTATAAAGTTCACAAACATATAAACCTAAACTACTATAATGAAATGCAAATAGCTGACTGGGCATGGTGGCTCACACCTGTAATCCCAGCACTTTGGGAGAGGGAGGTGAGAGGATTGCCTGAGCCCACAGGTTCGAGACCAGCCTGAGCAACATGGCAAGACTCCGTCTCTACAACAAATAAAAAAATTAGCCAGGTGTGGCGGCATGTGCCTGTAGTTCCAGCTACTTGAAAGGCTGAGAGGGAAGGACTGCCTGAGCCCAGCTGGTCAAGGCTGCTGTCGAGGCTGTGGTTACCGTGAATGTGCCACTGCACTAAAGCCTGGGCTGTGAAACACTGACCAAAAAAAAAAAAAAAAAATCAAAATTAAAAAACATTAAAAAAAAAAAAAAGAAATGCAAACAGCTGCTAAAACTATAAAAAAAACCAAGGAAATTACTTTACCATAAAAGTAAGATGATTAACTTTGTTGAGGGACTGGGATGGGCACAAAGAAGGCTCTCAAGGAACCTGGCAGTACTCTCTTTACTATATGGATATTTGTTTTATAATAATGTGTTAAGCTGCACAAAATATGTTTATGCATTGTCTGTCTGTATGTGATATTTCACAATAAAAAGTTTTCCAAATAAGGTACTAGAACACATAAAAATTGCAAGTGCTGTATTAAAATAAAGTACTGAAATTAGAAACAATTTCTATGATTTCCTTAACCCTCACTTTCCTTATAGGTGCTTTTACTATTGTTGTTGTTGTTTCATTTAGAAAAGGACATTTTTCTTCTTTAGTGTCTGCACTTGTTCCACCTAATGACTTCAGCCCACATTAGTGCCTTCTTTCCAAAGCCTTCTCTACATCCTCCAGGAGTCTCTATAGCATTTCTTTTCTTTTTCTTTTTTTAATTTTTATTTTAAAGATATGGGGTACAATTCAGGGTTAGGTATACAAATGTTCATTATGCAGGTGCCCTTGTTGATGGGGTGTGCCCCTCCCTCCCCTGGCAGTTTCCCTCAACTACCAATCCCACCCCCCTCCCCTGGCAGTTTCCCACTACTGCCGAATCC